ACCTAACCCTTAACCTAACCCTTAACCTAACCCTAAACCTAACCCTAACCCTTAACCTAACCGTAACCCTAACCCTAAACCTAACCCTTACCTTTATGTGAATCGGCTTGTTTTAAAAACGCTTTTTAAAGCGCCCTTTTTTCTCCGCCGTCGTCGTTGTCGCGCTGCTGATGACGTCAGCGACGTGCTTTAATCGGGCGCGCTTTAGTGGACCGCGGTTTTGTGGTGGAACCTCATTTTTAATCTATTTGTATCTTACCTTTACATTTCAATTGCCCTTTAATTCATCTCCTCCCCTGTAATTCTGCAGAACAAGCTATATTTAAGGGTAAGACCAGCAAGGGAATTGGCTTGTTTCCCAAAGCAACAAGACATCACTCCATTCTTTTTTAAGACTGGCATCTAATGGCTGCTTAAGGGAATCAAGGTGATTCCTGAAACCTGCAGTGTGTGTGATTTTGTTCCCGGGGCAATTCCCAAAACCCTGAGAAGTAGCAAAGGATGTAAGCTGAAAGTCACTCTATTGGACCAAGGTAGACCAAGCATTCCTGTACCTGTTCGAGGCCATGGATGATTCCACGATCTGGGCAACCAAAACCCCACTTTGAGACTCCCTGCAAAGGCTTATTATTCTGATTTATCCTGTTAATTTCAGCCCCAAATGCTGAAAAGAGAACGAGAGGCTATAAGTATTTAGTTCCTCACCGAGGTGGAACCAGTGAATGCAACTTTATCCACTTCCATGTGAGATGAAATAGCAGCCCCAGCTGTAGCTCCGTAACCAGGAATAATGTTCACCACGCCTGGTGGGAATCCAGCCTGTTAAGACAGGAGAGAAGATCATTTCCTAAGTGGACAGATCAAGATTTATGGGTAGGTGACCTGACCAAGTGCAGGAGCCCCTCTCTCACCTCTTTGATCAGGCTGGCCACGTACAAGCCGGTCAAGGGGGTTTGTTCAGCCAGTTTCATCACCACCACGTTCCCCGTGGCCAGAGCGGGACCAAGCTTCCACGCCTGCATCAGCAATGGGAAGTTCCACTACAGGGCAAAGAAAGGTGTGGATACTCAACATTCTTAAGTCAGCTACCTTCCTTGAGAACATTGTGTTAGGTTGCACTGTTCGTTTCTCAACAGATCTGGCCTTCCCTTCTCTTCCCAACGACCAGGAGATCTGTCAGACCACAATCCCAAAAGGAACGCAGCGGTCGATGGGAGATCAGATAATGGCACCGAGCAACGGAAATGGAAGCCAACGTATTTGGGAGAGGTATTAGCTCGGGTTCCTTTTAAAAATCTGGGTTACTTAAACAAGACTTGTATAAGTCAGAGAAGAGGACAATACTAACCACACGTTACCTTTATTTCTATTCCGTCCAATGATCACATTAAAACCTCCCCATTTCTACCCTCATAGCAGAGAGAGGCCCTGTGATCTGCTGCGGGTAGCTTGACTTACCGGAATGATCTGTCCACAAACGCCCACGGGCTCATGTCTGGTGTAAGTGAAAAAGTCTCCGTCCAGGGGGATGGTTTTCCCGTGCAATTTGTCAGCCCAACCTGCATAGTACCTGGAGCAAAGCCATCAAGTATTACAGGTGTTCGTGGAACCACAGAAGTTCCAACACAAATATACAGAAATTATTGGTGAAAATTCACTCCTGAAACAGGATTGGAAGTGAAGATACAAGCCAGTTGTGATTTTGTTTGATTTGCAGTTGAAGTTTATAAATTCAATACTCATCACCCAACCTTTTTCGGTTCTAATTCCCAGGAGAACATACCATATTTTTCAGAGTATAAGACGCACGAAGGTTTTGAAGAGGATTTTNACATACATACATACATACATACATATATATGAGATTTGTGGACTTCAATTCCCAGAATTGCCTATGGCTGGCTGAAGAATTATGGGAGTTGAAGTCCACAAGTCTTAAGAGCCGCCAAGGTTGGGCCACCCCTGCCCTAAATGGAAGGAGAGGAGTTAGGCAAGTGTCCGATAGCTGCCCTGGCTCTCACCTGGATCGCCCGGTCAATCACCCGGAGCGCCACCCTCGGAGCCACGACTTTGATCAAGGCAATCTCCAGAGCGGCTCCCTAGACGGATGGAGAGAGGAGCCCAGTGGGGCAAGAACCCCCTTTGGGAGGCCTTCCAGGCCAAGAGAAAGCATCCCACCGGACCCCGCCTGCCCCTCACAAGAAGCCCCCCCCCCTCCGCTTCCCAGGGCACGAGGGGCAGTAGGCGGTGCCTTCTGCTGCTGTGGCCGGCCTCCAGCCGAAAGGAGAGCTTGGGGTTGACAGCGTTCCCATCTTAGGGTTCCCCCCGCTTACCTTGTTTCCCACAGTGTCCATGAGATGGGCCGCCTTGAGGACAAGGAGCCGGGCCTGCTCGATCTCCAGGCGGGACTCCGCCAGATCCGCCCGAATGGTTCCTTGCTCCGCCAGCGGCTTTCCAAAGGCCACGCGAGTGGTCACCTGGCAACCAAGGCACCAGGCAGAAGGGGTGATCCCACTAAGCCTCTGTGTCCCCTTCCCAAGACCCCCCGGAGTAAGAGCTGGCAAAGAGCCAGAGGAAGCAGCCGTTCCAAGGGACGCCAAGCTGCCTTTGTAGCGCCACTCACCCGCTCCTTCATGAGGGCTAGCGCTCTTTCCGCCAGGCCGATCAGTCTCATGCAGTGGTGGATCCTCCCGGGGCCCAGCCGCCCCTGGGCAATTTCGAACCCGCGGCCAGGACCAAGCAGGAGGTTCTCTTGGGGGACGCGGACGTTTTCAAAGGTCATCTCTCCGTGGCCAGCTGGAAAGGGAGGGTCCGTTTTACGCCCAGGCTGTCCACCACTTGGAGCCCCCCCCAAAGGGACTGACCGCGAAGGGGCTAAAGGCCGACACCCCTCCCCACAAAATCCCTTAACAGCTAAGAGGCTCCGAGAGAAACCTCCCCAGCTAAACCCTCGCCTTCACCTGGGGCGTCTTCCAAGCCGAAGACGCTGAGCGGCCGGGTGACGGTGATGCCAGGGGAGTCCATGGGGACCAGCAGCATGGACTGCTGCTGGTGTCTCTGGGCTTCAGGGTTGGTCTTGCCCATGAAAATGCAGAGCTGGCAACGAGGGTCCAGGGAGCCTGCCGGAATGGATGAGAGGCCTTCTACGTTGAGATAAGACACTCCCCGAATCCGCCTCTCCTTCCTTCTCCACTGTCGAGCAGGGAAAGCTGACTGGTGGTGGAACCAGGCTGTTGATTTGGGCCAATGTGCCCAAAACTTTGATCTCCAGGGAAGATGCCCGCTTTGGCTTTCTGCAGGCTCCAGGAGAACCTCTGTGAGTGTCCATCAAAGGCAGGAAGAAGTCTGCCCTTTGTAGCATGGAAACCCAGGGACACCTCAGAGCATACCTGAAATCCACCACTTGTGCCCATTCAGAACGTAAGCGCCTTGCTCTTTGGTCACAGAAGCCTCAATGTTGGTGGCGTCCGAGGAAGCGACCTTAAGGAGAGACACACTTCCTTGCAGGGGCCAGTACGCCAGCCCCTCCGTGCCTCTTCTGGGCCGGGCTGGAGCTCCGTGGATCCAAGGAGGAAGGAAAAAAGGGAGGGTTTGGGGGCACCGACCTGGGGTTCGGTCATAGCAAAGCAGGAGCGGATCTTGCCTTCCAGCAAAGGCCGCAGCCAGCGTTCCTTCTGGGCATCTGTGCCGTAGCGGACCAACACTTCCATGTTGCCAGTGTCTGGAGCAGAGCAATTGAAGACCTGGAGAAGGCAAACCACGATTAGCTGAGGGGGGGGGTGTTAGTCAAAGAGAGGGGGAAGCAGTCCCTGCATCTGGAAATGATAGGCTAGGACAGAGATCGGCAACCTTAAAACACCCAAAGAGCCATTGCGACCCGTTTCCCACAGAAGAGAAAACACCGGGAGCCACAGAAACCCTTCCCGTGCCCGACTATTTCCTGAGCGGCCACAAAACTAGCCTATGTGGTTGAATTAAACGTTCTTTTTTCCTCTGAAACTTGTCGGATTTCACCATGGCTGCCCTACTGGGGGTTGAAAAGCTTAAGAAACCACATTCCAGCGGGTGTCGCCCATTGGCGGGTGTAACACGTATTTTGAACAAGAGGGAGCTGCAGCAGAGGGATGAAAGAGCCACATGCGGCTCCAGAGCCGCAGATTGCTGGCCCGTAGGCTAGGTCATTCTTGGGTGGGAGCGGAGACGGCCCTTAACTCTTTGCAGAAGGGAAAAAGGCCAAGAGGAACAGTAGACCAAGCACAGCTGCACCAGTGAGGCATTGGGGTCTGATCTGTGGCTCTCGGGGTCTGGAGGGATGGACGGCCCTTCCCGGACAGAGGAGGCGCATGGAGTACGTGGCCTCAGTCTCCTTCCACCCAAGCTTGTCCCCGTGGGGGCTTCTTTTCCTGGGTACCTCAGGGGCGTAGACCGAAGTCCCCATCAGTTCACTTAAGTGGGCAAATTCCACGTTGGTCAAGCCTGCTCCGTATTTCGCCTCTGGATCGCTCTCCAAGGGCAAGAAAAGGTTCCAGAGCCCCTCGGATTTCGCCTTCTCCTGCAGGACGAGAAGGAAGAGAGGCGAGAGAGAAGTGAGGAGCACGGGGGGAATTCTGGGAGTTGAAGCCCACGCATCGTAAGGCCTTAACTCCTTGCCTTCAGCCCTCCAACCGAAATCGGACCGTCTTGAGATCCGCTGCCCTTTTCTCTTGCCCCCTCTTATTCCTCCTCCCATGACTGATGAAACGTGAGCTTGTAAGCTTCTTGGGGCGGGAGGGTAACCCCTCCCTCCCCTCATTTCATCCTTTTGCCAAGCGCCACATTCCTCGATAAAGCCGTGTCCCTGTGGCCACCAACCACGAAGAGGTCCAGGTTTCTCAAGGACGAGGACTTGCCTTCAGCTCTTCTACCAGAGAATGTGGGGTCCACCTACTCGGGGAAGACTGGTGATCTCGCAGGAGCTGCTCTGACGGGTAAATGTGGGTCTCCATGAACCGCTTCAGCTTGCGGTGCAGCGCCTGGACGTGGCTGGGCAGGCCCTCAGGGGAGAGGACCAGGTGGGACGCAGGGCTCCGCGTGGCGTAGTCTCTCTTTGGGAGCAACCTTGGGCCGGCCCAAGTCCCGAACTTCCTGATGGCCGGTCCAGAGCTCGGGAGTCCCTTGAAGATCCGGAAGCCTTCCTTCGTGGCAAAATCCCAGGCCAGGCCCGCCATGGACTCCGCCAGCTTCCCGGCGCTTTCGGCGGTTGCTGAACTGGCCTGGCCTGGGTGGGAAAAGGCGCTCAGTGGCTCTGGGCTCCGTACCTTTGGGGGATTGTTCCCACCCACAAACCCCCAGAGCAGCCTCACCTGCCAGGAAGCGCTTGTACACCCCCTGGAGGATGGCCGCCACTCTGAAAAAGGAAAAGGCCATGTAGAAGTTCCAGTTGTCGACCGGAGGGAGGCCTCGGTGACGGCAGTACATCTGCAGGTAGTCCTGTGCCGTGGGGATGGCCAGCTGGTTGAGGTCAGAGTCGCTCAAGCCTGGGGAGAGGCACGCTGGGTTAGGCCTGGCCCAAGGGATCGTGGTCTCGCTACCCTCTTCCTTCCCCATGGAGGAGCAGAGGGGAAGCTGGAGCCTCTATGACAGTGTTTCTCAACCTTGGCCACTTGAAGATGTCCGGACTTCAACTCCCAGAATTCCCCAGCCAGCGAATGCTGGCTGGGGAACTCTGG